TGAGTAGATTGACCCGGCGACATTGTTGAAAGTTGGAGTTTTCCCAAGTCCTGGAATTTAAGCGTTTGTACTAATTTTTCTTTGCATCTGTTGTTTCAGATGGCATTTATTTCCAACCATCGAGTTTGAATTTGTAATCAACGGAAATGCTTGTGTAAAGCAAGTTTACATGTACCTGTTCAAAAAAGCTGTCAGAAGTCTATTTGTGAGGATAGAATTTCTGTCTAATCTCCAGCAGGGCAGTCAAATCTCAAACTTTTGGGGGTCATCTGATAGTATGCATAGGGAGCTCCGTAACGTAAAAGCACGCAGGACAAAAAAAAATGCATGATGCTGACTGACATGTCAGCATCAACAGCAAATCCAACATGTTCAGTACTGCAATACTGAAATGTGCCATTCTAAGACAGACAGAAACTGAATCTTGTCATGAATACCTTCTCTTCCGGCAGTTTCTTGGTCTGAATCCAACATGTTACGCAAGTGAACACTCCCTCGTAGACGCACAAGAGAAAGTACTAAGGCTCAAATCTAAAAATGTAAGTATCAAAACCTGCTTTCATTTTGGTAGCCCCTGCAAGGATAAATACTGCCCTCGGCAGATTTCTGGATTTCGTCCACGAGAGCCAAACTAATTCGCCATCGTATTATGTTGGATGCAAGTTGGGCAGTCCATTTTGAAATGGTTGGTTTCTGTTTGGCTCAAGAGAATCCAAAGCCTTAAGAAAATGGCTTTTTCATGGAACGCAGTGCAGCACATCGATCCCAGATTCTGAGAAACTTTGAAAATCAGCATACAATCTCATTCAGCTTGGCAGGTCATACACTAGGAGGGACTTCAACAGTTGCAACCGACAACAATTGTTGTAAAGATCCATATCGTTGCGATGTTACTTGAGCCCCAGCGTGATAAATTTAGGCGCTCACTAGGTTATTATAACTTGATATGTTAATCTGACCCCTACAAGATTGTTAAAGAAAATCCACCAGATGGCTTTGGAAGATTTTGTAGGATTTGGGAAGGTGGAACGCATCCGTTGTTACTTGGCATGGCGTGTATGTCATTGGTTTCTACACATTGAAGGATATTGGAGGTTTCAGGAAAATTCAAAGCAAAAATGCCCTTCGAGGTTTACGTAATTACATGACGGTCTTCTCTTAATCCGTTTACTCATCTCTGTACCTAATTTTTGACTGACAGGATGTGGGAGCCTGTTGCTCGTGACTCATGCAAACTGATGCATGGTATCCGCACTAAACATACCATATATAATAAAAAACCATTGAATTCCTCTATCCTCTTTCCTTTTTTTTATTAGATAACTCTGAACAGCTACGTATCAATTGATGAAGAGCTTGTATATAGGCCACATCCAACCCTGAAAAATGCGTAAGTATCATTCGGGTTCGTCCAGAGAAATTAAAAGTAACAGCTATTCTTGTCAGGATTGTCACTCATGATAAAAGGTTTGCATTCTAAACTTTTCTTGAGGACAGCAGCTGTGTTTTGCGACACTGGTGTCCTTAATTTTGGTGAAAATAATATGTGAGAATCTTGATCAATTGAGATCAGGAATGGATTTTGTATATGTATATACATAATCCACAAAGTTGACACCATTAACTAACTAAATCAAATCAGATCAAATCAAACCAAATCAATCAGTACCTGATAACCTGACTGAGTCACCAATTTTTTTTTTTCTTCAGAACGTTACTGAGGCAAGAAGCAATAGTCACTGTCAACGGGTTTAGGTTGGCTGGTCATCTAGAGTCGCTGGTTACCAACACGATCTCATCAAAATCCGCTGCCGTAAGTTGCTAAGTTTCACAAAGTTCACATTTGACTGTTGGCAGACGGGCTTCTTTTGACAAATGAGTTGATGCCAATTCAAAGATTTGTTCTTTTTAAAACCAAGAAATGCTATATTCCATATTCGTCAAATTGTCACTGTGCTTCGCTCACACAATCCAGGTTTCTCATTCAAAGCCAGATTAACCCGCTTGCTACCGGGCTGGGGGAATTCAGCTTTTTTTGTTCATATCTTTACTCTGAATTTCAACCTGTTTTTACACCTTCTCTGCTCAAAAATATTACAACTTTTTAAATTCCGGCTTCTCGTCAGCCAACTTCAGCTTTTTTTTTTGTAGGCGGCCACTCGCACCCCTCTTAGCAACAAATTCCATCTAAAAGATCCAGTCACTTTTTCAGAATGCTGATATGTTCACAAATTAACACAGAATTTAAAATGCAAACCTCAGTGCTCTGTTGTAGAACCAGCCAAGCCAGTGGTCTGCTTAAGCACTACAAATGTGCGATCTTTTTTTTTTAATTGAGAAGTGTTGGAAGGAGGAAAGAGAATTGTGCATTTTTTGGTCAGGAATGTAAATAATGTAAATAAGACTGATCAGACGGCATCGACCCAACCATCCCCACTTCCACCATTCACACTTGCAAAGCGCCCTAACTTTACAGGAGAAGTCTGTCACGGAATTGCTCAAACGATGACTTCATAACATGGCAGCTGTTGTTTTTTATATCCGCGCGACAGGGTCGTGACGCGATGGAATGGGTCATCCAGACCATCAACCAAGAGATGAAAGACCTGGCTTCCCAAGTCAACAAGAGCATGGAAGACATCAAGCACAGCATGGAAGGACTCAACTACGAATAATGCTAACCCCTCCCCACCCCAGCCGCACGCTCCCCCCGGGGTGGGGACGAGTGCTACAAACGTAAGCCCGCCTTTGATGTGTTACATTTCGGGCAGTCGCCACTCTGATGCCAAAATGTTTGAAGTACATTCTATGCACTTGAGTGAGAGAGGTGCTCACGCCAGCCGGACGTACCTTGTTTTGAGGCTTTAAGTAGCCGTGACCAGTGGTGGACAAAAGGCTTTTAAGCACTAATGTCCTGCATTTATTTTTATACACTTGTATAAGGTGCAGATCTGATATTGTGAGTTTTTACAGATGTGGCTTTTTAATACTTTCAGTTTCTCGTTGGAGAAATCCTTGGTAACGACCCGTACATGGGATATCCCAGGCAGTATTGAAGTTTATTTGTAAAGCATGTATGAGGTCAGAGAGTCTTGTATAGTTCTGACAGGGTTGGTACTACTCAAGTTATTGGTTGCAAGACACTGGGGCCGTGAACATCACCCAAATTTGTTGAGGATTTATTTTTTGCCGAAACTGGCACCATTTTTGGAATTTGAGTTCTTGCAGGTATTGAATTTGAAATCGACGCATTATAAATTGAACTCCTCGCTGCAGTGGGAGTGAAACCAGACCTGCAATGCAACTCTTTTGCTGTAACCGTGCTTCAGTCGCACAATGTTCGGTGAGAGTATGACACGACCCGAGGATTTGGTTATGAAGATGTTTGCGTACAAGAGAATGAAACCTTGTGTCCAATATCAATGATTAGCCTTTCTTCCTTCTTTGAATCTTCAAGTTTTTTTTGCTTATGTATGTTATCAAATCTTTTGTAATTCTGCAGGGATTAGCATATCTTCAGTCCAAGTAGCATACTGTTGTAAATCTGTTTATAAAAATGTGTACAAACCCAAGATATTAGGAAAGGTTTATTTCTTTAAAGTTTGGCTGATGAGCTGAGGATGCAACGATCATTTGCAAACCAATCAATGTCATCAGAATGAAGGTGAATAACAGATAGTCTTAGAGAACTGAGGAAACATATAACCATGTCAGTTGACATAAATTCAGAAAAATCAAAGTCTTTTTAAATATGAATTGCTTAATGTTCACAGCAAATTTCAACATCAATGGCACAGGTTACCCATCCCGAGCTGAAGTGCACCCCCAATCAGCGAAAAGAAAGACAGGTGGTTACAAGCAGGTTCTTGCACGCATTCTGCGTGTATGCAAAGACCATACAAGCCGGAATAAATTAGTTACGCGTGCTCCCCGTCAAACGCGCATATATTTCCGGGCCTCATGGCGCGCCTATGTGGAGAGTACCAAAAAAAAGGCCCACTTTTGTTCCGCTCGGAGTGGATTGCACATTTGTATTCCAATATTGAAATATGCCAATTGTGTCCAAGCATTGGAATTATTCATGTCCATAAACATTAATATTTGAAACCTAAGGACAAGTTTCAATTTTTGGCCAAAATTTTAACTTTCCGATTTCTTTCCCTCAGAGTTGGGTTATTCATGTCTCTAAAATGTTAAATATAAACCCCAATGATTGGTTATATTTTTCCAAAATTTAAATTTGCCCATTAATGTCTGAGCATATTAATCACTCGTGTCCTTGAAACATAAAACCCTTAGTGATTAGTTTTAATTTTTTGTACTGTACAAATAGCAATTTTATTTATATATAAACAAATGTTTGTAATGTCATTTCTTTGAGATTGCAGTAAATATTTGAGGGTTTGTGATTGGGTATTTGTCTGTTTTCTCTGTAATATGAAATGGCCATTGATTCTATTACTGTTGAAGATTTGTATATTTAAAAATACTGTTTAAAAAAATTCATCCGGTGGCTGGGAAAATTAAATTTCAGTGACACCAACATTTTTTGGCTAAATTGTGTGTTTTTGTGTTGAGGATTTTTCTTGACTTTGCTGGAAACTGATTGGCTTGTAGATCAGAGTATCATCAAAGCTTGGGCACAATTTCTCTTTGCCTTGAAAATCTTTTCGGCAAAACAATATGGCTTCTAGCAAATGACTAGGTTCATTCTGTGGAGACCTTCTCTGGTCTGGTTGTGAAAGTATCAGACAATACTAATCCTGTGCACAAGCAACACTCAGACAGGAGTTTGACCTGTTTTGATGTACGAGCCCCAATGCCCTATCCCCAAATTCCAACCCCATCCACTGTCCCTTAAACAACCTGGTATTAAGGAGTGTGACAGAGTTTCCCCTTTGGGTACTGACCTGTGTGAGGCGGTCGAGCAAATTTTGCCGAAATTCTAGTATCTAAAACAAAGGGAATGTTTTCAAAGTGGCCCAAAATATATTCCATATAGTCTAATAGTACATTTACTCCAAATTTCCCCTCTAAAAAAAATCTGTATTATATTCTGTGTCCCTCTTAACCATTCTGAACAATTTGAATCTAATCCACTCAAAATATCTACGCTATTTTGCTTTTTCCTTCCATCTTTGTCTATTTTAAGTGTGCGGTGGTCAAATTCAACAACAAAAAAGCCTGAAGTGGTCACTCAAATCAGTGAAGTGGTTACTCAAATCAGTGAAGCGGTTACTCGAATCATTGAAGTGGTTACTCAAATCAGTGAGGTGGTCACCCAAATCAGTGAGGATGGCTGCCTCACAGTTGAAACCCAGGAGTGTGATTGCTGAATTTGAAGGATTTACGGGCTTGACATTTCGATTTCAGTGTAATGTTTTACATTTTGTACAAAAACAAGCTGGGTTCCTGCGGCCAGGAAAAGTCATGAAAAAGTCACAGAAATTTGTTTTGTTTTCTAGGCCTGGAAAAATCATAGAATTTAGTAGAAATGACTAAAGTCATGGAAATGTCATGGAATTTTTCAAACACTGTGTGTGATTTCTTTTGTCAGAAATAAGCGCATAAATTGCGTGATTTTATTTGTAACTTTAAAAGTCTGAACAGTCCAAGAAATTGCATTATCGGGTCACGGATTTCATAATTTGCTCATGGAAAAGTCATGGAATTTAATTGTCCTTTAGGTGCAGGAACCCTGAACGAGCGCAAGTTTCACATATTCACACACTTTGGAGAGAACTCGTCCCTTGTTCGCTATTGTTGATGTTTCAAGGATTTCTCTTCATCCCCTGACTTCAACCTTGTAACCAAAATGCTGACCTCAGAATATGGCCGGTGCACTTATAAGAATCCTACACTTTGTTTACACTTTCCTATCCTATGGACCCAGTGGGGACTCACGGTCCACTGAGCACCATAGGCCCGCACACTGTAAACGTGTGGCGTTATCAGTGCAGGGGTCTACTGATTATGGGGTCTACCGTGCACAAAAGTGTTCAAGGAACCATTCAATTCAAAACACAGGTTATTATAATTTTTTAGGGGGGAAGGACAAATATGAGCTTGGCAACAACAAATAGATCGATTGTGCCTGCTATTTCAGTCACATGACCTAGGGTGGGTATCAAACATCAGCAAGCACAGCGTCCTCCCATCGTAAAGTCTGTCACAAGTGTCATTTACCAAAAATATAGCCGACGGTCGGTAAAGTACTCCGACTACTGATGTGCTGAGCACGATATCAGTACCAAAAATCGGCTTTGGTAAACAACATTTATGACACACTTTACTATGGAAGGACACCATGTCTCTTGAATGTTTGAGAACCACTATAGGTCAGACGACTTAGCAGGTGCAATCAGTGTATAAGTAATAAATATAAAAATGCGCGTACATTTCATTTTTAACTTGCAAATATGACTTGTCTGCACAATATTACTTACAAGTAAAAATACCTTTTCACAATAGGAACTGCATAAAGTTTGAAACAACATCAAACATTCAAAGCTATCTTCAAAGTATAAAAAGTTAATAATCAAATAACTTCTTTGATCAAAATTTACATTAGCACACCATTAGCAAACAGTACAAATTATTCACAGTCCGTCAGGACCCAGGATGACCAGAGACACGATGATTTCATAATGTATATACCTGGCCAAATTCTAAGGGTGAGATTCCGCGGAGTTGCAGTAACAATCCCACGTTTTATGGGATGTCTTTCTGCGATGTCTTTTTTCGACTCGTCGGGTAAGCAGTTACCGGACACTGATGCACGGGTAACATCTTCTTTTAGGTGTGCTGACGAGGCAATTCACCTATAACGCACTTACAAACCTCTTGGCTGTGGTGTTACGGACAGACATTCCTGATAACCCCCTTCAAACTTTTGTATGTCGCAAGTGCGCCATGCCAGTCGAGCCGAACAGAAACCCAACTCAGTGCTTCCCATCACTGACGGGGGCCAGTGGGAATGTACAGTGACAATGTTGCCGGTCACCACTTATTATTATCATTATTACGTATTTCTCAAGCATTCAAAGTGTACACTGGAGAAAGTGGGGTTAATAGGGTACAATGTTCCAAGTAAGAAAAATGACAATTTTGTATCATTAATTGCTTCATGGGAGGAGAAGGGTCACAGGAAAAGAGAACGTGTTGTTAGGTTTGTGAAAAAAAGACATTGAAAAAGACCCCTAACATTTGCAGACACGGCAGGGTCACCGCCATTTCAACATCCACGTTTGTTTCGACCATTGGAGCCCAAAATGCCGAGAGCTGGTCTGAAAAACTTGTCTCTTTATGTTCCGACCCGGCTCCCATGTGTACAACAGAGTAAACACAGCATGCCACAATATCATTAAATCGCAAGGCTATTAAGTACTTCAGCAGTTACATCCATAAATCTGTTTTTCAGAGATGAGGAAAACCTTATGTGGACATGGGCAGGTCCACACAAGGTTTTCGCTACCTGCACTGTGTGGACATCTTTTGTTCAGAGGTCCACACAGTGACTGACACACTTGTACACTATACAATATAATGTCGAGAAACCAAAGGCTGGTTTTTTCGGACATCTGTATGCGCCCACATCATCTTCGTATATGCATAACTTGTATATGACAATTTATCATTGACAGTGGAATGCCAATAGATAAATCTTGGTAGCGTTGAATAATACTCATACATTTTTTTTTTAAAATCCACTGAAATCGGGAAAATAACATCTCCTTTTAAGAGACGACCACTGCTGGAAAGATTCTGTGGTGAATTATGTTTTTTTGGGGGGGGGGGGAGGAAATCTGAAATCTGTGATTCTTCAAAATGTGGTTAGAAAGTACAGGCACATGACAAGAAAATCTACAAAGACATGGAAAAATGTAAAGACTACAGAACCCCTCTCCGTAGTTCTGTTTACATACGTGAAGCATTCAATTGCTGAAAAAAAAACAACTTGCATCAAAGCATAAAATAATAACTCACTTTGAGTTGCTGCTGACCAACAGTATATGCAGTGACTACTCAAAAACTCACAGTCTCCATTTCTCAATCTGCACGTTTGATTAAAAGCTCATTTTAATTTCTCCTTCCGATGGAAGGTGAACCTTGAACGTGATTCTAAAAACAACATGGGTGCTACCATTTTAATTACACACAGCACATGAAATGAGACCATCTATCTCATCACAGTTCCCAAGCACAGTCTCCCATGCATGTGAATGACTCACGTCTTTCTCTTCACCTTCTGATGCATCACTTACTTTTTTTGTGAGACAAAATGGTAAAACCGATTCGCACAAAAACATTTCGACTTTCACTCTCAACATGCTCAGAACAGCACAAATAGTTCCACTTAATCTGTAGCAATCCGTATGAAGTTTCATTCATGTGTTTGTTAGTGCAAATTGTAACAAAGAAAAATAATAAATACTATAACAAGCCCACAATTTCACAAAATATTAGTTTTTTAAGTGTTAGCACCTTTGAAAATGAGACACAAACATTTTTTTGCACTCTTTAAGAAAAACTTGCAGATCTAAAAGCAAAGAAATAAACTTGTGCTCATTGTTTGCAAATAAATATCCAAAAAAGACAAGAAGATGTAGAAATATTGCAAACAATGCCCTGGGTTAAACACAGGTGTCATTCTGAAGCTTCATTGCCTCGTCATACTCAGGGAGGTGGGGTCTCAGACTGCTGCATGATGTACACGTCCCGATTCTCGTGGACGGTGTGGTAAGGGGGCGGGTCCTCGGTGTACTCCCAGGGGGTGTGGCCGTCCCCGGTGGCCCCTCCCTGCGTGCTGGCATCTTGGGTGCGTCTGAGCTGGGCGCGGCGGGTGCGGCCCGTGTATCGGTCCCACAGTTTCAGGTAGCAGTAGATGAGACAGCCGACAAGGATCAGGAGGGCGATTAGGCCATTGATGAGAATGACGAGAAAGGGCAGAATGGAATCTGTATTGAACGGAAAGCAACTTTACCATGTATTGATAAAGACAGGATTGAAACAAAGTCACAGGACAAAATAAACCAACACCATGGGGTTAACAGATCCATCAATGCAAAGAGATAAACAAAAGAAAGCCAATTTAACATTTTGAAAAATACGCATTTTGGTTAGCAATTGATCATATGCAGGTACAGGTACAGGTTTGGAATGCACACAGCAGCAATACATGTACAGTATGCGAGCAGGTAACACCGCCCTCAACAGTTGATGCCCACAGCCATTAAAAGGAAGCCCGTGGGGAGTCATGATTGGCAGTTTGCCATTTGACTGACCTCTTGCAAGTGAGCAACCCATTTGTGAGAGCTTCTCAACGCCAACTCTGAATGTGACGTATATTTCTCTAAACGTGAAATTGTAAGGTCTTGGTTTTCACTCGGGCTGCTGACTAAACAACGTATGTTGGCCCCACACAAAGAATCTGAATAAGTTTTCCATCATTAAGGCCAGTTCACACTTTAAGCAAATACAAAAGTGAAGCAAACTTGCCGTCAAGAAACATTTGCAGCAAAATTCACTTTGGTTAAAAAGTGTTGATTTTTTGCAAATTTCCAAATCAAATATTTAATGTCACAGTTTCATGTTCGTATTCACTTTCTTGCCAAGTGAGGATTGGCCTTTCCTGGGTCTTACTTGTGATTTCGGGTGACAGCGTCTCAAGCTGGGTTTTATTGACAGTGCATCGGACGCCCGCATCCTCGCTGTGTTTACAGTTGTGTTCCCCGATCCCTGAGTGAGGGCAGTTCACGATGCTGGTCTCGTTCCCTTCGCACGCGACATCGTCAAGTAAGATGGGCCCGCTGCCCTCGCCAAAGTAGGCCGTGGTGGCGATGGCTTCAGCGGTGTGGAAGCCCAGCTGCTGGCAAACAACGTCCGCGTCCTTGTAGTCCCAGCTGTCGTCACAGACTGTCCCCCACTGGCCGTTGTAGGAGATCTCCACCCTCCCTTCGTAGGGGAACGTCCCGCCCACCAAACGGACCTGAAAATCTGCGGCAGAGGTCCCGGATCGGGCCGTGAAAAGAAATCCACACAAAACATCCAGCAAGGGACTTACAACAATGAGGATAATGAAAAAAAAATGCTGTGACCTTTCAGAGATTTTAATTGCTACAGGCAGCACAGCAAGCGGTTCCTCACAGAAAGCTCCGACTGTGTGAAAGCCTGCACTCTTTGGGACAACGTGTGGGTGAGAAAAGTAGCAGAGCCCAAACAATTAACCCTCTAAAAAAAAATCACTGATTTGAAGAGCCCAAAATTCTAAAAATCTGCAAAAAGTCTAGAGAAATAACACCTCTAGCCGGAAGTTTGGATGAAATGAAACCTTAAGTCCACGGACGAAAAATTAAATTGCAAGTAAGGTTGGACTATACAATTCTTGAAAGTCCAAGCACTGGTCATTTCAAGCTTTGGTTTGAGAACTTTACTATTAACTAAAAAAAACAAATAAAAGATTGTCAAATCAATGTGTTTTTAGCCTCTGGCATTATTGGTATGATAATGTGTGGTTCAGGGAAAACTCTCTTGGCCCGTGTGACACAACTTGCACCCATCACTGTCTTAGCCAAAGACAACAGTATTTAGATAGCAGGTGAGGGAGCCCTCAGAGCTTTGATAAATGGCGAAAAGCACGAGAAACCCAAGAGACCAGTGACAAGAGCTGCACATGACCCAAGTGGTGACCATTATGTGCCATTTGATCAATAACTCTTGTTTCAAGAGAGTAAGCATCAGGGTTGCTAACACCTGCTTGCCGACAGCAATGGTAGCTCATCTCAGGAAAACTGTCTGATGGTGACTTTTGATTGGACCCTGCCAACCCCACGAGCACAGACCAGGCTTTGTTGGACCATCTCACAGCCTTGGGGGGGGGAATGGATTTCGTCACCCCCTCCCAAACTCACCTGTGCCAAACCCAATCTCTCTGAAACTTTGCATGTATGTAAAGGCACTCGTTATTGGAACAAGGGTGAACGTTGAACTCATTCCAACATACGGTATTTTTTTTTTGCGGGGGGGTTTGATGTTCTTAGCTACATATGTCAGCTCGTGTGCATAGAGCACACCAACGGAGAAACTATACCTTCTTGGCTGAAATGTCTTTGCAAAGTGGGCATTGCACGAGATCAGTATATCAAATATTCACAATTGTAGTGTCAAAATGATGGCGAGACATTACCAAAAACCCTCCCAAAGGCTCACTCAGCAGGTTAGAAAATGCATTTCAATGATATGGGAAAAAAAGTCAAAGGGGGGGTTGAAAGCCATTATCTTCTACGAAAAACACACGAATGGTTTTTTTTTGAGGGGGATTGTACATTTAGGCCCCGTTCTTAATAAAAAAAGGGAGACCTACATTTTAACATTTTGATTCGCCTTAAGTAGATGACTGTGACATCATGCTCAACAACTGTAGGGTTGATGTTGTCAAAAGAGTCTAGGGTTTTGAGTTTTGAGGGAAATTATGAGAGGAAACTGGGAGTATTTTAAGACATGACACGCGGTGGAGTTACAGTTGTATGGCAGCAAGAAAGAACGTCACATTTTCTCACAAGTTATAATTCCAAATTTCCAGAAAATTTAGTCAGTACAATAATCAGAGCATTGTCTTTGGTTTTTGTTGGGGGGGTCTGACCAATTTTACCAGATTGAAATGAGAAATAAACGGGGGCGTCCCTGAATATACAATCCCCCTTTTTTTTTTAGCTTACCAGGCAGTGGAGTTGCCATGTTATCCTTGCATTTAATCTCTGCCAAGACGCCTAATGGGCAGGAGTAGGTCTCGTCCAGATAGTACTTGCAATCTGTGAGCGTTTTCTCAGTTCCCTCACACTCTATCCTGCCAAACCGTTCTTGTTTTGAGACCCTTAAGTCATTTACGGCGTTAACCCAGCTGACGTTGGTGAAACCCAGCTGACGACAGACCAACGACGACACAGTCAAGTTCACGCCCAATCCGCATATCCACCACCAATCTCCTTTATAGCTGACTTGGAGAAGTCCGGTTGCTTGAGTTCCGTTGACATCATCCGTAAACAAACGAACAATGTCTCCTTCGGATTGTCATGAAAAAAAAAAAAACAGTTTTTCCCTTTAATTACAAAAAAAAGGTATGCCCAAGAGAAGTACTCATACATGAAAATGAAGGGTTTACTTCCAAAATGATGTATCCATTTGAGAAACGTGCAATTTTTCCACAATTGACTCATTAAATTTGTGTTAACGTGTAGCTGTCTGAAAGATGTAGAAACTGACTGCAGGAAACTGAGAGAGGGTAGGATTCTGACACCAAAAAGACACCAAAATGGTGCTCATCGCATGTTGGAAATAAACTCTTCTAATGTTCTTCAGGATTCAACACCTGGCTTTTCGGCATTTTGATAAGTTCAACCTTGTACAGCCCAACCACTAAAACTTACACAGGGCTTGATGTTTAACTTTTACATAAGTACAGAAAACATTCCAATGCATGAAAGATTCGGTAAGCTGGCTGGCAAATTTAAACAAGTTAAAGTAGGCCAATTTCTTTCACCCACCAAATTCAAAACTCTGAACACCAAACAAAAACTATACTTTCTTTAATATTCTGCCAATTGAAAAGTCAATATTGGAGTATTTTCCGAGGAAATCCTTTGTCAACATTGTTGAACATGACGTTATTGGGACAAGTGGAAGAGGCCGCTAGTTTTTGCGAGAATGGACAGCCATGATTTCCGGCTCGGACAAACCCGGTTTCACATCATTCCGGTTACTACAATTGACCTTGACGGTCATGCTACATTCACCAGCCCTCGGAATGTTTGTCCGGCACAGCCCCAACTATGAGATTCCGAGCTCAGGAAAGAATTCCATTCCGACCCAGCCATCACTTCTCACCCTTACACTTACAGTTTGATGGAAGTAATAAGGCCATGACCCTTATAAACCCCCATTTCTTTCCAATGCCTGTCATGCTCAATCTTAAAGGAGTTGGTATTTTTGGCATTTGTAATGTGGGGCGGGAGACAATTCCAATCATTGCTGACTCTTTGTGAGAACAAGTCCTGCCCACATTTTAGTGCCTTGTTGAGCCCTAGTTTATAGAGTTTGAGACTATGGCCTCTTGTATTTGTAGAGGCCAACTGGAAGAATCTTTTCTGATCCGTTCTCTCAAATCGGTGTCGGATCTTGTAAGTTTCGATGAGGTCTCCCCTCATTGGCTCACACGTTTAATTCTTCCAGTCTCCCAGTGTAGCTGTACAGGAGGACGCAACTTGTGCATGACTTCCGGCCAGCGCCGTGAAAATAACCGGGGCAAATGCACTTCTGCCATGCAAAGCAATGTAAAATGCATTTGTTTTCACCTCGCACTGATCCAAGGTCGTGCAAATTCGCGTCCACACAATGCTCAAATCCAGTCCTTTCCTATCACTTAGTAGGGCAGTATCAGTACCACTCAAACAGGTCTGACAAATTCTAAGTAAATGCTTCAACATTTTCCCTTGCTTTTTTGCAGAATATATGATTGCCTTCTAATGGCTGATATGTCACGACAGAGAAGTTAGCAATGTCCATGTATGGAATTTTATCCAATAATTTCAGTAGGCTACCTTTCTGCGAAGTGCTGCTGCATGAGTGTGACGTCAGGTTGATCGCAAACCACATCCACCATGTCCACAAGGCAAACACTGCAACTTTTGCGGCCATCGGCTCTACTCAAAAACCCTATATTCTGGAGCTTATTTTTAAAATCTAGTCAGAATTTCTCCACTGAGACTTAACAACGAAACTCTAGCATCGTTTCGCACAAATCAATACACTGATACACCCGTCATCGAGAAGACTTCGAAGTTTTTGTTGCAGTGGTGATGTTGCGGCTTTACATGGCCTCTGCACTTCGCTGACTATTGTTTTCGTAAATAGCGCCCTCCTTTGACGGACATTTTGCCACAAATTTATCATGGCGACTTCCGTGTTCGCCGAAGAACCTTCCGTGCACCTTTTTTGCCCCTCGTGTAAAAGGCTCTTGCAAGATCCTGTGATCAGTGTGGTATGTGGGCACACATTCTGCAGGCATTGCCTGACGGACGGCAAGGATTCGGTCATTTTGGATGCTTGCCCCGTGGACGAGAAGCCGCTGAAAAACACGTCAGTCGTTGCGAATAGGTTTGTCATCATGGTCATTTGTGTGTGTACAAAAGTAATTGGGACTCGCCTTCGCGAAGTTCACGATGCACCACCCTGACCACACCGGAACATCTGGCGCAGGCCTAATGCAGAAATGCTTGATAAAAAGTAATAAGTCTTTGGGATTCTTTGCTTGTGAAAGGAGAGACTACGGCTTCACTTGAGTGAGGTTCAATTTAGTGAAAACATGAAAAAAATAGATCAACTTTACTCCATCTTTACCCGAAAAACAACAACTCCAAAAAAAACCCAAAAAAACACTGAAACTGAGCAGAGAAGGTTCTCTGAATTTCACCAACTAATTTTCAGATCTGAAACTCCAAATTGTAAATTTTTAGGGGTCTGGAGTAGCTGTATTTGTGTGTGTGTGTCATCTCAGCAACATTATTTATTTGATATTTTATTTTAACCTATCAGTTTTCAATTTTTTAATATATTTATGAATGGGACAAACAAAGTGAAATATTTCCAACTTGCTTAAATGTGCATAATGACCTGAAATGTATAAATTTTTAGTGTTAAGAAGATAAATAGTAAGGAGGGCAACTAGAAATTTAACTTTTTAAGGATTTGTAAAAGCTTCCATCAATTTTTATGAATTGTAATTTTCCCCCATCAACAAGCACAGCTTGTAGGAAGTAACTTTTATGTAAATCTGTACAGGGCCATCACCTCGCAGCTAGATGACATTCTGGTGTACTGCAAGAATGGAATCAAGCGGTTCAGCTCGCGCAACGACGAGCTGATCACGGACACCTGCGGCTGCCCCGAGCTGATCCGTCTCTCCCAGAAGGCCGAGCACGAGGCCAGCTGTCCGTACAGCTCCCTGCAGTGCCCCAACAGCCCCGAGTGTGGGACACTGCTGCGGCTGGACCTGGAGGAGCATGTGGTGACGGTCTGCCCCTTTGTGAAGTGTCATCATTACGAGAAAGGTGAGCAGTGGAGTCCGTTGTTGTGCAAGTGCGTCATGCTAGTCGGGCGAAAAAGGTCTATTCTTAACATGTTGGCGGAATGTACGGAGATGGAAGACTCTTAACAGGAAATATATGACAAGAGCTCTGATATAGCAGACCCACTACGTGGATGCTCTGATTTTCACGTGCATGGCATGAATTGCACTTGACCAATTTTCATCAGAATGCGCACAAGCCTAGGGGGTCAAGTGCACAGCATTCATAATATCTGCTGGTATGTCTGCCCGTGGCACTGTTCAGAGGTGTACTGCATTCACTTGTCTCACTGTAGAGTACCTTGCCTATGGACGCATTCGTAAATCATTCCAGGCTTGGCTGTGATTTGCCGGATTTGTGGGTTACGGGAATTCCTCAAAGATTAATTCTCCTTTTTTTCCTTGTGACAGGGTGCACCTTTACCGGTACGTCGCGTGCTGTCGAAGACCACTGCCTTTCATGTAAATATGAAGCGAGTCCTTGTGCAGTCGTGAACACCGTGTCTCAGGTAACATTGTTTGTTTCAAACCTGTAATGAGGCCTTAACCCCTTCACGCCGGGATTATTTTGACCGTGACTGCTGGGCTGTGGTATGCCCAGAATGGAGGGCTTTGTCCAGCAGCAGGCCCACATTGAACCAGCAGCTGCATGGTGAATAGACTGTATGTGTGGTAGGCATTAATCCTCACACAAAGGTGCGGTAGTAGCAGTCCTCCGTAGCGAAGGGGTTAAACTGTCGTGCCATTTCATGATCATTACACCGTTGCCAAGTGGAGAGCACCCATGGTCGTACACACTGTAGAGTTTGACTCACTACTCCATGCTGAGACTGAGAAACTGTGAGGGTGTGTCCAACACTCGGCTTCCAGACACCTTTTGAAATGTTCAACCCGTTGGCTCAGACCCCATTGCTGACTTCCAGACCCTCTTGGTTGCATTTTTCTGCAACAGGAGCACTTACAATGTCGTTGAGGCTGGGAGTATTTTCGTTCGGTCCCGGTGATAAACTTCTAAGATTGGTTGTGGGCAAGACCAGCTTCCTTTTCAGTCGTAGAGCCACAAACTAGCTTACTCAGGGTTCTTGACATTTTGATCTTTTGCCGGGCAGCCTTCCGAAGACCAGGTTCTCCTGCAGAAGCAGGTGCAGATGCTGATCGAGAAGGTGCTGTTCCTTGAGAATAGCCGAGATGAGATGAAAGCTCAGCTGGAGGCTTGCACAAGGTCAGTCAAACTGGATGAATTTGGGACACCGCGTTTTACCACAAGGCTGTTCTGCCCTAAATGATGTTATTTTAACAAATTTTTTTGGTCTTGTCCTCTATTCTAAAAATTATTAACAAATGTTGGTCGTAAAATCTTGTGAGGGTCAAGAGGTCAAAAGTTGGAATGGATTCTCTGACATCTTTTCCCAGCTGTGGTGAATGCCTTACCATTCGTTTCAGGAAATCCAGGTTTTGGTAGAGCGAGTCACATTTTACTCGATTTTACTCTGAGACCTACAGTACACTGGTTTAATTCAACCACTGTGCACTCATTTTGAAGTACCTTTTCATGGTTTCTTTTACCAGCCATCTTCAAATGTTGTGGTAATCTTCAGCAGTGCCGTGAATCAATTTTTAGATAATTATTTTGATACGTATATTAACTTGTCTTGTGGTCAAATAATTTTCCAAACCTACTTAACGAATGCTTTGACTTAAGGGCTAGCCTCCCTGTAAAAAAGTGTATATTTGTAGGAAGAGATATGGTCAGTGGTTTGGACCTTGAAGGTTATTTTGTTTCTTGAAATTCATTCCGCAAGTCCTTTCCATTTCAGGGCCTTGACCGATGTGGAGTCCAAGTACAACGACCTCAAGGCCACCATGGATAAGCACGATGCTAAGCTCAGCTCGTCTTCCTTCAGTCGGTCGCAGAGACCTCACATCAGACCGAGGACCGCATCTGGTAGGTTGTCCCTGGGCCTCGAGGAGGGGGTAGGGGTGGGGATTGCCCTAGAGAGGGGAGGGTCAGACGTGGCCTATGAAAAGTCGTGCCAGGTTGATGTGGTTGGCGCAGTTAAAGATTGACTTTAGAGAAGCCTTTTGCGGCATTTTTTGTCAAACGTACATAAGTGCCCTCACTTTGCATTGAAACAACCGAGAGCTGATCTGCGTACACAGCCATTAATCGTAACTGGGCATCTGTTCACATTTTCAAGCAGCCCAGCTAAGTTGACCTTTGTTTTAATTCTGCACTGAGTTCTCATTCAAGCCTCGAAACTCAATGACCCTGATATTTTCACTCATAGATCGGCGGGATTCGTCAAGCCCTGAAAACACAATGACTGGGCACGATCACTGGCAGGTTCCGTTTGAATTCAAATGCATCGGAACTCTAAGGTAAGCTGAAGGTTGAATGAACATCGTCATCAGGTAGATGTTGTTCTTTTGACTGATTTTTGCTGAGAAATGCTTGAAGAATGAAAGTAATCATATGTTGATAGAGTCACAGAAGTTGGTGATAAAAAGAGAGATCAGCCACTGTTGGTCTTGTCTTTTTCAGAGGTCACAATGCTGCCATCCACTGCCTGGCAACAAGAGGTCATAGGCTATACTCAAGCGGACTAGACAAAGTCATCAAAGTGTGGGACGTTGATGCCCTGAGTAAAGGCTGCGTACAGAACATCAAAGGACACACGGACACCGTAATGCTGCCTCGGGGGATAAAAATGAAATTCCTTTCAATGAACAAATTTACATTTGACAACTTCACATCAGAGAGGCCTCTTGTAATGTGTGAAAAAAACAACGGTGTGAGCTTTGTACTTTGCTCTGGTTTCTGAGAAATTGCTGGCAATGTTTGTGCCGTAATGCAGGGCTTTTCTGAATGCACATTGGCGGCGTGCCTGGATATATGCCTCTGCGAAGTGTGTGGCCACCTTGTGGCAACTTTTTGTTATGGATGAAACAGAGAAAGGTTTGCATTTTTGCCTTCGTTAAAATGAATTGCAATTTCCTGATTATTTCAAGCAGTCATCTCAGAGAAGGTGCCAGCTTTTCCTTCTCGTTTTTATTCAAAGGATACCCTGAAATCCCAAGCCCTGTTGATAGCCTGGTTTGAAATTTCCTCACAGAAATGTAATCGAGTCATTATAACGTCATCGTGTTCGCGAGATTGCATTCCTCATTCGGTGTTCCAAGATGACAGTCTGAAATTGTCCAAACTTTGCACACTTTTTTAGGAATGCGGAATAATGTTTCCTCCTCTTACCTGTGATGGCGTAATTGCGTGTTTGTTTCTCCTCAAGAGTCCGTTCTTCTGTCTTTTTTCTGCCAGGTCAACGCCCTCTTAGCTGGTAGCGAATATCTGTACAGTGCTGGCGAGGACCAGAGCATCAGAATGTGGAAGTACGACACTATGAAAGAACACAAATGCGTTAAAGTGAGAACACGTTTCACACCTTTTAAAAATGGAGCGATTAGAAACAATTGCACATCGGGGCTCAAGGACGGATCCAGAACTCAATTTTTTCAGGGGGCCCCAAAAACTGGGAATTTTTTTTCATGTAACCGTTTATGGCCTTTCTGGGTAGATTGACCACACTTTGGAACTTATTACACAATTTTTGAAGGAACGAAATGAAAATATACCCCCAAAATTCCCTGTCTCAGTATTTCCCCCCCTCAATTTGCGGGGTTCCTTCTGGGTCCCATGGCCCCTTCCAGATCTGCCCTTGCCAAGGCTGTGTGCGAGTGTACTGCTTTGATACACATAATTGGAGGAAACATTATTCCAGATCACATCTCGCAAATGCCGAACCGTTTACCTCTCTGCCATCTTCGAATAGCAAAACAACAAAATCTTGGGGGAGGGTGGACCCAGTGGACATGGAGGGGTCCTAATTTGCATATGACCTTTGACTTGGGAACCGTACGTTCAGAGAGTCCTCAACTTTTTGGCATCCTCGCAGAAAGCCCACGACAGCGCCATCTGCGCTTTGGTCAAGAACAGCAAGTATCTCTTCTCCTCGGGGTATTGCACAATCAAGGTAAAGAACTATTTGCTCAGCAAAGGAAGAGGTTACCAGCCGAGAAGTTCATAGATTGGGCATTTTGCACGACTGGTCCCCGCTGATCGTTGTTTAGCGCATAATTTTTTCTAAGTGATTTTTTCTTCTTCTTAGCTGTATGAAATCAGGCCTGCGGCCTGACAAGAAGTGGACAAAGTCGAAATTGAGATAGGAAATTAGAAAAAGTGAGAAAAATCAAAAAGAAATCACTGTTAGTCACAGTGCATTGGTTCCACCTTCATGGTTTGCCACTAGGTTTAAGTAGGTCACTATTACACAAGGACCTGTTGCCCATTACTGGTTGGCAAGGTCCTTCACCCCTTCATACCGGGAGCAGTCCACAGCCGTGGCTCTGTGTGAGGATTAGTGCATACCACACATAGAGTCTATTCACCACGCAGCTGCTGGTTCAATGTGGGCCTGCTGCCGGACAGAGCTTTGGATACTGGGCATACCGCAGCCCAGTAGTCACGGTCAAAAGAATCCCGGCGTGAAGGGGTTAACTGTTCTCGGTTTTCGTTATTTGAGGTTGGTACTGTTATCTGTTCTGTAGGTATGGCATGCAGACACACTGGAGGCCGTCCAAAGTATTTCTGGCTTACATCACTGGGTCCGAGCCTTGACGCTGGAACCTTCAAAGGTACTCCCTTGTCCGTTGCTTCATTACAACCCATTTGTGTTGTTTTTATATTTAAAAAATAATATGCAAGGGGCAGTTTTTCTGTCCTCTTACCTTTATTTGACACCAACTAAATATTGTGCATCTCACCTCCTTGTTTAGTATCCCGAAGGAAATCAAAGGGTCAAATGTTGCTCCCCTAATTACGTCCTAAATTCTTATTTTACTCAAGATCCACTTTCTTCCCTTACGACAATAGGAGGCACTGTACAGTGGTTCTCACAACGTGGTCTGCATATGGGATGCCACGGGCCAGTTTAACTTAAAGAGAAAGTTGGAGCACCAATACGGTTCAGTCTATGCCTTGGCTATCACTCCCAAGTTTATCATTGTTGGTAAGTGTATCGCACCATTCACCATTCGTTAATATTCCCCTATTCGTCATTCTTGATCGTTTATCCGTCCTCTTTTGTCTATTTTGCTGTTCACATTTTTGTCCTGTCGTTCTGTACACAAAGAGTTTGTGAATTCTGTTATTAATTGTGTTGGTCTGTTGTCGTGGAGACACAAGTTGCACGTTAGTTTCGACACATCAGCAGTGGGATTTTCTATGTAAAATTGTGGATGGAAGTTGTGATGTATTTCAGCAGTCCGCATAAATTTGGATGGCAAGTAAAGCATTGTTCACAAAGTTCAGAGTTCACTTGCTGTGTGTGTAGCTCAAATGTCTGTGCATTTTTTGTGCTCTCCCAATATTGTGTACGCTCTTTTCCCATGGCTTCCTGTGACCTTTGCACTTTGACCAGGAACGCGGGGAGAGAGTGGAAATGAGGAGAGGTCAAAGGACTCTTTGGAGGGTCATTCAGGTAGGGCTCCCCTTTGCACTTGGGTCAGATTGGCTGGTCCCTTTTTTAACACTCGGCCCATTTTAGCGCAGCCGAACACTAAATCTTATCGTACCTCACTATCATAGCTGCATACTTCTCAATTTTGCTTTCCAAGTTCTCCAAAACTCTCCATCGCACCAGGAACCATTGCCACATTCTTTCTAATTTGAGCTCCTGTCAATTCCACAGTCAAGCATTGTGTGGCAGGGGCATTACCTTCCTCAGTCCTACAAAATTCACACAAATGAAAACCTTGTGGATTTTGTTGGATCGGGGAGGGTTAGGGTTCATGACAGTGCATGATACTGCATTGTGTTGTGGCAAAAGTGACAGTCACTCCTGGCATGCCTGTCCCATAGTCTATCACATCCATGATATTTTTCTTGCAAGTAGGAGTTGACATTTTTTCAGGCATAGCAGTGGAAACTTGTATTGGAATACTAATAAGTAACAGCAGGTTGATTTCCTTTTGTTTGTACTTACCTCACAGTTACATAAGTACTTTTGTAGAAGGTCGTTCTTTTCATTTCCTCATTATTTTGTTCTTAGTCGAAATGACAGATGAAGCGTTCTGTAAATAGTTTAAACTGACATATCAATCTGATCTGCGATGAGGTCTGTGATTGGTTAAGGGGTTGAGGTCAGTGATCAGGCCAGTGACCAGGTCTGTGATCAGGTTCGTTATCAGGTCTGTAATTTGTGTGATGAGGCCGGTGATAAGATCTGTGATCACACATTTAATCAAGTCAGTAATCTGGTCATTGCCGAGGTCATTGATTGGGTCAGGGATCAGGTCTGTGATTGTCTGTGATCACGTCTGTGATCTGTACAGTGACCTAGACTTTAGTTCATGTCAAACCTGCACACTCCATCTTGCTGCAGCATCGCCAGTTGACATTTCAGGCATCAAATACTTCAGCCCCATCCAATCACAAACAGTCGCCACTTGCTTGTTTTTTTGCAGTTCTGTTTCCAATCCAGTCCAGTCAAAAACCGCATCTAGAAGGCAAGCATTAAAAAGAAGCGCACCAATTATGTTACGAGGTTTTAACAGCCTGTCAACTCTATATCTGACTCATTAAGTTTAGCTAATCCCAGAAATATTAAGTTTAGAAAAAAAAAGATTTCTTTTGCTCAGTCCGGCTAATAGTTTTCTCCTGCAGTCTTTTGGCATCCTTTGTCAGCAACAAACATCATGATTGATCTTTTGATTGTTTCCAGGAACATACAACAGGAACATGCAGCTGTTTGACGTTGTCACCCACCAGCACGTCAAGTGTCTCGGCGGCCACATTGGAATCGTCACCGACTTGGCCACGAGCCCAGCTGGCAAGTTTGTCATTTCCAGCTCCTACGATAACACCGTACAGGTGAGTATAGCAGATTCTGCCCAGTGCGACCTTTATGATAGAGTTTCCTTTAAAAACAAAAACAAGTGTGAATAATTCATGTTTCTTTGATGTTTGGCAATAAGAACATGATGTGGATTTTTTGAGGATAACTTGTCCGTTTCCTATTTCTTTAACTACTTTAAGTAGGTTATTTAATAATTTTGACATAAATTTACTTCCAGATTAAAGAAAATAGTACTGCCCGCTGTAAAAAAAAGTCCATATTTGACTTTGTTCTTGCATTCTGTTTGCTCTAACCAGCCCTTACATATTCATTTCCTAACCCTAACCCTGTTTAGTCAATTCTAAACCTTATGCTCTCCAGTATTAAGTTTGCAATTTTTTCATTGGTTTTTATCAGATCTGGGATCTACAGAATTTCCTTTCCCTCCAAGTTCTGTCCCGCCACCAGGGCAGCGTAAACGCCATCGCACTGTGCCACAGTTTACTCTTCACCGCTTCTGAAGATAAAGAAATCAAGGTAAAGTCCTGAGATTTAAAAAAAGCTGAAATGTTCAAACTCCTCCCCCCCCCCAAAAAAAGAATGTTGTCTAAAAAGTCATGTGTGGTTTGTCCACCCATTTTCAGTTAATGATGCGATGTCCGGAGGTGCTGCTGCTCAAAGCAGTGTTAGAATTATTATCCCCGTTTATCAGGCCAGAGACCATTTTTGGCAGCCGATGTCCATGCACATTCGACCTCTGACCTCACAGGTACCCATAGATGGCTCGTGGGTAGAGAGAGGTAACTTTAAAGGTAAAGCGATGTGACCAAAGGTCTAACAAGCTGCTGGATTCGCACCCCCCGACCCTTTGATTAGGAGTCACGAAGCCTAAACTAATTTATGGTTCCTAGTTCTAGAACTTTCAGTAGTTTCTCTTTCTTTTCATGCTCTAGATCTTCAAGTACTTCCGCCTGATTACGTACAGCAGCTTCGGCAATCACATCTTGCCAGGGAAGGACATGTGAGAATACCACAGCCAGCTTTCACCACCAGTGCATTTTTTTTTCGTTGGTCACTGAAATGGACCAGGACCATTTCAACTGTGCAATTTTTTGGACTTTGTATTAAACCAACCAAGCGTCCACAGTCATGTCCATATTACTCTGCTGCAACCTCAAACTGATCATTACCTGTTGGAGCCACCGACTGCGTTTTTTAATATCCAGACAACTGAACACAGGCTCGCCGATGCCAGTTTTACACCAGTGAACTCGCCCCAGTTGTCAAGGGGGGAAGAATTTTGGCATTTTTAATGTTAGGTTTTACCCTTGGCAGGGTAGAGCTGTACGCACTGCACGGGCGGCGTATTTCCAAGACCTTGAAGAAATTTAGAGTAAGGTTTGCAACCTTACTCAAGTGGGATTTGCACCCACAACATCCAGTTTACTCGACCACCGAGCTTGCCATGGTGGCTTGGGTGCATTTTGAATATCCATTATGGGTTTACGTCACTGTTGTCCTATGGTAATTTTCTCCACAAGATTTTTCCAATGCAACGAGTTTTTCAACATTACTTTTTAAGTGTAAATACAATTTTTTGGTCAACAAAAACAGGCAAACGTGTGTTTACTTAGGTGAACTGCACTTGAATGAAATATGCATGTCAAAAATTAAACAAATTGAAATTTCAAACATCCACTATTTTTGTATAGAATCGGATTTTTATATTTAAAGATTTTTTGTATGCATCCGGATACTTAATTCTTTCCTTTACCGGCCAGTTAAAAAAAGACGTTCTGTAACAATTCAAAAGTGTCAGATGTATAATGAATTTCAATTTCAATGCAGACAGCAATTATTCTCAATTATTATGGAATTGGTAATATTTTTAATGTGCCATTTCTTGTATGTAAATTACTTTGGATATGTTTGGGGCAGTTGAGTACAAGAAGTAATTTTTTTTTCCTTAGTTTTTTAATATTATGAATACTGCTCATTTATTTATAATCGTTTATCAGAAAAATGAAGAAATTGTTTATGTGTAATCTGTAAAAAGGCACATATGTGAGTCCATGGTTACTTTTTAAAAAATGAGGTCAGTGTTACATGTAATTAAATTTTGTATGTAAAATTGTGACATTTGAAGGTGATGTATTACACTATGCGTTTCCCTGCAATGACTCACGGGGAGGGGGGTAATTTCTCATAGAATCTCAATTTTGGAGGTCAAAAATAACATCTTCAAAATCTATATGGTTTGGGGTTTTAGGAACAAGCCGGTTGCTACGGAGATTTAAAGTAAGTCTCTCAAGTCTACATTAGACTCAACCTTTTCAAACCCCGCTTTCCAGTTGTGATAAGTTGAACTCCGCAGAACGAATAAATTTGAAAATATAAAAAAGATCTGATTTTCTGGAATGGGACGGACTATTGAGCTTCAAGTAATTCCTTATCTTCGTTCTTGTGACATAACGAACCATTTTGTACCGACTGATTTACAAATATCTGCATTGGATAACTTCCATTTTTAAACTCGACTACCGGTTGGCCCACGCAAGTTGTGCTTTCTGTGGAGAAATCTAAAAGTATCTGTACGCTGTAAGACTGTAAAATAGCTTTCATTTCATGTTTGCCTCCGGTGCTGCACTTCTTAAACTTTATAATAGGATTTTTTTACACACTGTTCACACCACTGCCCTGTCTAAAGTCGGTATACATCAAACTGACATGTCTTGACCTTGATTTGACATGACAGGGTCTCCCTGCCTGACGTCCCTGACAACCACTACCTGGCGACATATCTCATCAACAACCATTTCTGACTGTTGAAGGCAGTGGTCAAATGGAATGCCAGGAGTTGGGTTGCAAATGCACTGACCACATGATCAAATACTTACAAATTTTGCTCTTTAATTAGCGCACTGAACTCTGTTGACACCACTTACAGAAAATAGTAAAAGCATGCTTTAAAGAAGATGAAGACCCCGAAATAAAGGGAGGATGTGACAAGTGTAATACGGTGGAACCTCGTTAATAAGAGGTCCCTAGGACTTTGCAAATTTAAGTTTGTTATAACATTGCATTATCGGGAGAAAAAAAAAACGGAACAAAGGACTGGAACCCCAAAATATCCTTGCAAGCAGAATGCTGTATTAACAGTAGTCTTGTTAACAAAGTTTGACTGCATATCAATTACTTTCCATGTAAAATTCACAGCCATTTCACTGGCTCTTGAGTGACCTTGCAATTACGATGATTCTACTTTGTGAATGGACAAAATCTGTAAATTTCCCCTTTTGTGGCAGTTTAGTAATCTTCGTTTTAGTCCTCAGAAGTATTGTCAACTAATACCACTCATTACAGAAGCTGTATTCACCAAGCGGCGTTTATAAATAACAGCAATCCCTACTCTTAGGACACCTCTACAGTTTGTTGCAATGATTTTTTTCCCCACTTCTTGAAAGCTGCGCATTGGTCAAAAGTCAAATTACCTTGCCAACTTGGGGTGAGTCTTCCTTTTACACATCTGACCGACTGAGTAGTCATTTTGGAGGGTGTTGCTAAAACAACTGCACATTTTTTTCCAATTCTGGCAGTTATGGCATGGACACAAATAGTAGTAGGGCGCTGAAAGTAAGGGTTTCCCAAATATATATACAACTGGTTCCCTCTGTACCCCACAACAAAAACATTGTCACCTTGGCTTGACACCAATGAATAAAAGTGAAAATCCCACGTATTTCAAACTTTCCAAGCTTATGCTCAACCCCAGCCCACCAAAAGGTCAGAGGGCACCTGTCACCATTAAACCTAAAGGTCCTCGATCTGCCGATTTCAATATGATTTTACATACACCATAGAGGGTCAGCGTCCATATTGGCACCTCAATGTACACCTGTCATTTCAGATATTTACATGCCAAGAGGACAATGTTTTTGAACAGTTATACACCTGATATTCCATGATAAGTACAGTACGCCACTGCACTGAAAAAATTTATGAAACAAAAACGCACAAACAAAAAAAGAACATTATACCATACTGTTATGAGGTTCCTTTGAATTCCTTGAACAATAAACCCTGCTAAGCAGATATCTGTGCCAAGCACAAAATGGGCGGGGAACCAGCTGCTAGTAATGTACACTGTATGTAATCTTAGCTGGGAACATTTTCTTGCTGAGCAAAAATAGAACCTCAGAGGCAACGTTTGCTCAATAAGTAATTTACAACAAAAATCTGCATCTGCACACAAAGTTTCAGCGAGTTTGGACAGTGAAGAAGGCTTTTGTGTTGGCTGTCTTCTACTAATATTAAGCAAAATTGGACCCTAGATTGCCCACACAATGAAATTAAAATGACCACTTCAATATCATCATCACAACATGAGAAATTTCATACCGATTTCAAACTCTGATTATCAGTTGCCTACAAGAGGAAAGTTCCTCCAAGTTACACATCAACATTTTGGTAATCCTGGGTAAACTGTAAAAAAAAATATCTTGAGTATACAGATCACTTTTTATTGCCTCAAAATCCACCACAATCTGACATCTTAACCACTTCCTGCCGGGCAACCCGTTTTCGAGTACATAGATTTATATGCAGAGCCGGGGAGCCCGGAACTGGGACAAAAGAGTTGGGTCTTATAACAAAAGACCGTGCTCAGCACAAAACACTGAGCTGCTGGGCATTACCGACATTTTTTTGCTCTCAATAGAGGAGATAATCCAGCCTTGTTTTGAAATAGTATATCATGGTTTGAGACATTTAGATTTTATACTTTAATTTCTGTAAATGTTAAAACATCACTAGCCCAGTAACGATAAACATTTTACTAATCCATTAATTTTCGTCCACCCAAATTTAGTTTGGATCTCACCAAAGTATTAGGTTCCAGAGCTCACTGAGAGGACGTGGCAGAGAATGCTGATTTTCCACATCAACTGTTCACGCTGAGCATTTATTGTCCAGCTTGGCCTTAGCCAATTCAATCACCCTGGTAAGTTTGTGCATTCGCCTAGGTCTTATGAGCAAATCTGGAGACAATGTTCATGCCATCGCTGGTCATTTGTTGTGGCCCCCGTCAATGGCGGTGTGCATTGTGAAAATAAGCGTACAGAGCCACTGTTCTGTGACAGTCACTTTGTACAAAATCCAACCGAATGCTTCTGCCATTAAAGGGGGCCATCTCGGATGCTCAGTGAAACGTCTGTACATCTCAGCAAATCTTTTATCCCACACCTCTGGCTCGTGCCGTGCACTAACTGCTCAGTTTGAGCTGAGCAAATTCCTTGGCCAGGCGGAGCGCCTCGTCAATCCCAGCCGTCCGGTCCCCTGTGGCCTGGGCGGCCAAGTCTTTGCCGCCGCCTCTGCCGTTGATGACCTCAGTGACCTGCTTGACCCACTCGTTGGCCTTCAGGCCTTTAGCAGCCACGTCCTGAAAGAGCAGATTGGAAATGGAACAGGTTCATACACTTACGGTGTAAAATTGGAGGATTGAAGAATGTTAGGGTTGAGGTAAACTTCATTGGATTAATGTGTTCACTCTGACAATGTGAAATCTTGATGAAACCATGAGACATTTCAAACCCTTCTGTGAAAGCTTTAGCATAACTGGTGTGCAGCTGTTCATAGTAGAAATTTAATGTCAATGGAATGAACATCAGGACCGATAAATACCAACAGATCGTGTCATCCGTTTTCAACCCTCCTGGTAATGACTGCACTCTTTTGTGTCCTGCAAATCACTTCAATGCTCACTCATCGTTCAAGACTGCCCCGTGCTTTGCTGCAGAGACATTATTTCAGTGGACGTCAGCAACGCACTCCGAGGACTGCCAAACTAATCCTTTAATACTGTAGAGCTATATTAATTTACTAGAGTGCTGACTTTTATTATAATTATTACTAATAATAACTGGTAATGAAACCAAGGATTCCTCAAAAGCACCCTAGGCACTGTAGCTTGCAAGCCTCAAGAAACCTGTAGAGAGGAGACAGTGAGAAGCAGTTACAGTTTTAGAGGTGGGAGGAAAACCCCAGAGGAATATTCTGGGTAAAACCCACGGAATCCAGTAAGGACTGAAAACCCAATCCACATGTGGATTAGGCTCGGATTCGAACCCAGACCGCAGAGGTGGAAGGCGAGGAAAGAAACCACTACACCAACCTGACTCCCCGGTGCAGAGTGAAGCCTGCTCGGCATATCTATGTTTGTGCACAAGCCTATGGGAAACTAGAATAGCCTGACTTCGTAACTCGCAGGAGTTGTGAGAGAGCAAACTGGGAACCAATCCAAAATACGCCGGAAGTCTTTGGGCACTAACCTTTGGCACTTGGGCCATGCACAGGACCTTGCCCAAGTCGGCGTCCACGCTGAACAACATGGCGGCAGTGTTGGGCGAGCCGGCCTTGTACTCCTTGAGGGCACCGTCCAACGCCTTGCCGCTGCTTCCCGCCTCCAGCCTGGCCACCACGTACGGAGCGTTAGGGGATTCGGCTATCATTTGCTTGGCACTCTCCTTGGCCTGAAGGAAAAAAAAAAAAGCAACGTTAACTGCTTTCAAAAGTAAAAAGATTACAATTTTTTGTCAGTCGCTTCCTCAAGAGCATGAAAAAACTGGTGTCATTTGAGTCAACGGTTTTCAGATTTGGATACCTTTCAGATAGAAGACAGACAAACTGAAGTGGGCAAATTGATGAACGCTTCACACCAAAATCTCATTTTCAGACCCACTGGCCAAAAAGGAACTATTTCTTTCAATGTAACTGACAGACTTAATCCGACCATGCATCTTGAAACAAAGATGAAACTTAAAATGTCAGTGCTAGAAAATGCTACGCGTATGTTCTCAATATCTTCAATTCTGTTCTCCTTCGTACCTGAAAATAATTCCACAACGACAAAGGTCGAAGAATTTCAGCTACTTGATTATTTTATTTGCAGACTGAATTAATTTGATAGCCTACTTATACGACTGTCATCAAACGGTGAGAAAGATGAAACAGGCTGACGACACAAACATCGGGACCTTCGGGTTTATTAGCGGCAAACGAGAAGATCAGCAATGCATTCTTACGGCTTGGACCTGGGCCGCTTTGCACGCTTTGTCCATGTCGTCCATGATCTTCTTCAGGTCCTTCAGCTGAGCGCGGAGCTCGTCTTTCTTCCACTGCTGGATGACGGCCACGTTCACGTCCTACAACGCGAGCGAGGGGAAAAAAAAATGAGGCTTCATAGGCACTTTGCCAGAATGCCCTCTCGGCTGTGCGTGAAAGCAAACATTGCACGGAACCAGACGGGCTTCGCACACCTTGTCCGTGTTGCCCCTTAAGAGCCGGGGGGGGGTGCTATTTTCCCGATCATTTTCTCCGATATCATCCTTTGTTTTCCCCCGCTGAGCCTTCGGAAGTTTTGCAGGTAACGCCTTACAATTTAAGCAACAACAACTTTTACAACATACTGATCGTTGTTGTGGACTGCCCGTTTTCCCGAGAAAGGTTGGCCCAAAATGGTAACTTTTCCCACTGACATGAGCTCCATGTATGAGGTTCGGCATGAGTGAAAGCTTCATCTGTACATGACCCTCACAACAAAATCCTACACTGGATGGAATTGAATCTTCAGAGAAGTAATTACAATCAACGTTTCTAATTGCAAGCAAAAATTCAAAAAGTTCAGGCACGGGACAACCGAGATATGAGGATCAGAATCTTGTTTCAGCCCAGGCTGTGAGCTAATTCCACCCCTTCAACAAGCAACTCTTTCGATGGACCTGGGACTTACATCTCCTAGCTCCAAAACCTTCCTTAACAGTAGCTTCTGGTTGGCGTTGCCGTTGTCTTGAATCTCCTTGGCGAGTTTCTCAATCAGGACCTCCATGGCCTTGCCTCGACTGATAGCCTGTGCCAAAAAACAAAAGGAAATTTAGCAACTAACGATCGGGTTGGCAAGACCATAGCAAAAAGCTGGCTAAAATTGATGGAAGGTCATTCAACTGCATGAGACCTCAGCCTCACCGGGCAGAATTTCATAAGCACTCTAGTTGATGACCTGCTTTCACGAAACAGACGAGCATTTGCCTACACGATAAGCCCATCTTAAAGGTTATTATTTCATTACTTCTTCGAGACAATTTGTGATCCTCGGTTTTGATTTGATTTTCTCACCTTGTCTGCGTCCTCGCCAGTGATTGCTTGAATGCGACGGATTCCCTTCGCGATGGCCTCCTCCGAGGTGATGACGAAACAGCCGATGTGACCGCTGTTCTGGAGGTGCCTGTTTGGGCCACAAACAATCGCGCGTCAACAACCGACGACACACAGTTGAACTTCAAAAACTGCCCTCCCAGTTTCTGAAGCTGATGTAACACTTGTCTGACCTTTAACCTATGGTGACCTCCATCGATTACAGGGATAACCGTGTTAGATTGACTTCACATTCATTGGATGGATTAGTTACGGTACAGCCTGGAATTCTATTACAGAATATCTGTTCTCATCCGCAGCTGTTTCAGGTCATTTATCAGAACTTGGTTTTAAGTCGAGCTTCGGCACCGTCCCTAACCTCCAGGGACCTAAAATCGGCAAAATGGAGCCCAACACTGAAGTCACAGACAAATCCAACCTTACTTCTTTTATTTTCACCTTCAAATAAAGTATCTACAACAGCTTAAAAGGGTAAACCTTTTCAACCCCGTCGCTAGGGAGGACTTCTACTACCGCACCATTGTGTGAGGATTAGTGCATACCACACATACAGTCCATTCACCATGCAGCTGCTGGTTCAATGGGGCCTGCTGCTGGACAGAGCCCTCCATTCAGGGCATACCACAGCCCAGCAGTCGCGGTCAAAAATAATCCCACCGTGAATGGGTGAACAGGTATTTGTTCATTCCTCATTCCAGGGACTTACGTGCCACCGCAGAACTCCACGGAGGTCATGGAGCCCCCGGGTCCAGCGGGATCAGCCACCAGTTCTTCGACGGGGATGCCGATGCTGACGACACGAACAGGGTCTGGGTAAACCTGAACACGGGAACAAAGATGCGACAGCTTAATAAAATAGAGGTCAAAAGCTGATCCGTAATGGAAACTATGTACAGGTTAACGTCATACAGCATGTATAGCCTAGATGAGAACAAAGTGTAAACTATATTGCCTTTGGTGACCCAACTTGCTCGCCTGAACTTGGTTGAGCCATGCACAAATTCAAAAAAAGACCAACTGAGTTCTGGATAAACAACCCGAGGACACCGAGGACTCCTCCAAAGTGCTCTACGCACCATAGCTCACAAGCCTGAAGAAACTTGTCGAGAGGAGACAATGAGAACAGTCATACAGAGGTGGGAGGAAATCCCCAGAGGAATATCCTGGGTAAACACCACGGAATCAGGACTGAAAACTCAATCCACATGCGGACCGAGCCGGGAATCGAACCCAGACCGCAGAGGTGGAAGGCAAGGAACGATCCCACCAGGCCAGCCTGACTCCCCGGTTTGAATGGGCATAAAACTGTACATGCCTGAATATGACAAGGACACAAACTGAAAACTGCTAATCAAATCTTCGGGTGTATCTCAGATTTTTGGGGTATCGGGTTAAGGCTACTGTGACAAATCTTAGCAAAGCACACAGGAATCACCAACCATCCTTGAAGAGAGCAGGGCGTAATCAGAACGAGTCGTGCCTACCTCGTCAAACACCGCTCGGAGTCCCTGGATGGCCTTGGCCTGCGCCAGCGGGGTGTTCATGGCATAGACTTTGTCGGCCTTGCCGATGACCTCGTTGGCGATGCGCTCGGTCTCTTTGACTTCTTGTGTTGTCATGGCCCCCTGGCAAGGGAGAGACAATGCACTTACTACAAAGAC